CTTCTCTTTCCATACTAAGTCATATGCTGAACTGAAATTGACGAATACCGTCGTAAGATTATNTCTTTGGCCAATGAATGCTTTTATCCAATTTAGCATGTTATGCTTGATACCAATCTTTGCCAATTTTAGAATTAGCTTCTCTTTCCATACTAAGTCGTATGCTGATTTGAAATCGGCGAAAACAGCCGTAAGAGTATTTCTTGCATCAAGGGCATCTTTGAGGTGTTGGGAGAAAGTGGCTACCCGTTGTTTCGTTGATCTTTGTGGCTTTAAACCTGCTAATTCACTCCGAAGAATATTGTTGGTCTTAAGGAACTAGGTCGGCCTCCTGTTAACCATTCTTTCCATAAGTTTAGCCAGCACACTTGTGAGGACCATAAGTTTAGCCAGCACGCTTGTGAGGGAGATAGGCCTTTATGTTTAGCCAGCACGCTTGTGAGGGAGATAGGCCTATAGTCATTGCTAGGGTCTTTGCCCTTTTTTAGTACTGTTATTACTATAGCAGGGTCTTTGCCCTTTTTTGGTACTGGTATTACTATGGCAATTTTCCATCGAGGTACAAGACTGGTCTCCCAGATTTTGTTGAAAAGCGTCGGCATGGTTTCCTTGGCTTTTGGTTCCATTCCAATTAGAAATTCCGGATGAATACCGTCTTTGCCTGGAGACTTTTTGCACTTTAGCTCTTTTTAGCGCAGCATTAAGTTTGCAAGGTCTGAATGGTTCAGTAAGTACATTATTTGGTGTTGTCGTGTCTTCCTTAATTTCACCAAACTGCCTTTCTTGCATCTTTAAATCTCTTGAAGATTTTTTGACGGAATGGTTTTTTTTTGCCTGTGAGAATAGATCCTTGCAGAGTAGTTAGCTATTTCGGAGTCGGTGGTAAGCAATTTGCTGTTTAAATTCGGAGTCGGTGGTAAGCAGTTTGTTTTTTAAACGTATTTGTCGGATTATGGGAATAGAACCTCGCAAAGCAGTTAGCTATTTCGTTAGGTAAGCAATTTGCTGTTTAAGCGTATTGATTCTTTCTTGTGTCTTTCTTTGTTGTTTTGGAGGTTTCCCAGATATTTAAATGTGCGTTAGCTATCACTTTGATAGTTGATATTCGAGATGAACTTGTCGATGTTGTTTTGGAGGTTTCCCAGATATTTAAATGTGCGTTAGCTATCACTTTGATAGTTGATATTCGAGATGAACTTGTCGAAGCAAGTCCGTTTAGCTTGTAAGATGGCTTGCCTTAGCACAGCTGATTGTCGTCTCCATGCTTGTACGTCTTCCGTTCTTCCAGGTCTGATGCCTTTGTTGCGAAGGGCGTCCCACTTTCTTTTCAGTTCCTCAAGGTGCGGCGTCCCGCTTTCTTTTCAGTTCCTCAAGGTGTTTTGACTCCGTTCTTCCAGTCAGATCAGCAGTGTTGCGAAGGGCGTTTGTTCTTCCAGTCTGATCAGCAGTGTTGCGAAGGGCGTCGCGCTTCCAGTCTGATCAGCAGTGTTGCAAAGAGCGTCCCTCCCAGTCTGATCAGCAGTGTTGCGAAGGGCGTCCCTCTTACACTGATCAGCAGTGTTGCGAAGGGCGTCCCGCTTTCTTTTAGCTTCCTCAAGGTGTTTGGACCAAAACACTCGATAGTGTTTATGTGTTTAGACCAAAACACTCGATAGTGTTTAGTCTTGCCTATGGGTAATGTGAAGGGCGTCCCGCTTTCTTTTCAGTTCCTCAAGTTGTTCAGACCAAAACACTCGATAGTGTTTAGTCTTGCCTCTGGGAGTAGTTTTCTTTG